GCCGCCGGTACCATGCTGCCCAGCTCCATCCAGATTTCCGGGGAGCCGCTGTCAGGCGCCGAGGTGCGGGACATCTGCCGCGGCCTGCGCGACAACGCCGTGCGCCTGCTCTCCCTGCGCGGCTGCCGCCTCTGCGACCGCGACTTCGGCCGCATCTGCCGGGCCCTGGCCGGGGCCACGTCCCTCGCTCAACTCAATCTTAACCTAGGCGTCGTGTCCAGCCCCAGCCGCATCAAGCAGCTGGCGGAGGCGCTGCGAACCAACCGCTCCATCCAGTCCCTCTTGTGAGTGCGCCCCCTCGCAAGGGGGTCCCGGGCACTGCACCCCTCCACGTACTCCTCCTGCCACCTCCTGTTCCTCCACTTTCTAGTACCTGACTTGCCACCAGCCAGCCTTTACGCCCCTATACACACACCTCATCCTTCTGCCCATCCCTCAAGCACATGCCTTATCTCTGCCCAGGCGGCCCCACAGGAAACGGGATACCCAACCCGACCTGGCAGGGCCTGTCATATCTCCCCACCTCCCCACCCGCATTTACCTCACGGGGGCAGCCCTTCAGTTCCCAAGAAAGAATACCCCCATGGAGACTACCTGCATGCCCACAGAAGAATTCAGTCCAACACCCACACCCCTTCTATGCCCCACCCTCTGCAATGTCCTGGATTCCAGTCCCTGCCCCAGAAAAGCAAGCAAATTCGCCTTCCAACTGAGAATTTTCATTCTTCCTTTACCAGGCCTCTCAGGGGAGGTGCCCCTTTCCCAAATAGATAAGGCTAATGACTACAATAACTGCTCTCTTGCCTCACTCCCCAGCCTGCATGGGAGCCCTCTTACAGATGCTGGGCTGGCCTTGCTGAACCCAGCCCTGGCCCTCCACCCTGCCCTCGTGGCTCTGGACCTCGGGGACTGCATGCTGGGTGATGAAGCTATCAACCTCATCTGTGGCCTCCTCCCCCCAGATGGGGCCAAGTCCGGTGAGCAGGGTTCTACTGAGGACATAGGCTAGTGTGGCCTTGATAAAAAAAAAAAAAAAAAATGTAGTGGGAAGGGGGTGTGGTCCTCCGAGGGTGTGGTTGAGAATGTCTTTTTTACTCCTCTCAGGAAACGGGGCTGAACACTGAGCAGGGTGAAGACTCAGGGATCCAGGCAGGGCCAGGCAGAGGAGGCATGGGTCCTCACTGGCTCTGGAGCTCTGTGTTTGGGGATGGAGTGGCTCCCCATCCACTAGGGATATCCCAGAGGTAGGAAAGGGGCTGAATGAGAGACTGATTATCCCCATCCTGGCTTCTCATTACAATGTTGCCCAGGCTTGAAAGAGCTAACGCTGAGCGCCAACCCTGGCATCACCCCTAAGGGCTGGAGCCGCCTCGCCATTGCTGTGGCCCACAGCTCCCAAGTCCGCGTCCTCAATCTGGACTACAACCCCCTGGGTGAGTCTCAAGACCACTTCCTTCAGTTCTCAGGGCCCCATGCACTATCCAAGAAACTGTGACAACCAGTTGCCATGGTGGCCCCAACACTGGGGGAGGGAAGAGGAAAGAGAGCCCCCCCCCCAGGATCTAGTTGGTAGTAGATGAGCAATCCTGTGTGGAGCACTAGATGACCAACAGGTCGAGCAAACCATCAGTCAGCACCCTGCACGTATTCTACGTACTCTTCCTGCCACCTCCTGTCTTCCCACTAACCAGCCTTTACGCCCCTTCACCTACTCTCTTCACTCATTAATCACAATGCTACACTCTTGGCCACTATCAATTAGGGTCTCCTAGCTGGGTCTAAGGTTGTTAGTGTAATGGGGGAGCTGTCCAGGAGAAAGGGTTAATCCCTGTGTGTGAGTACATGAATGTGTGCTTTCTCCCCAGGTGACCATGTGGCAGGGATGCTAGCTGTAGCTGTAGCCTCCAGCCGCACCCTAGAAGTCCTAGATTTGGAGGGTACAGGACTTACGAACCAGTCAGCTCAGGTGAGAAGTCTTCATGTTTTGGGGACAGGCCAGAGGGTCAGGGTGGATGTTAGTGTGTCTGTGGACATAACCTAAGGGGTGGTAGGTTGGGTCTGAGGACCTGTCTTAACTGTGTTCAACCTTTTCTATACTCATCCCCACCCCCAGACCCTGCTGGACATGGTAGAAAATTATCCCACAGCTCTGCGGAGCCTAGTGTTGGCTGAGAACAGCATCAGCCCAGAGCTGCAGCAGCAAATCTGCGACCTACTCTCTGAGGGGGAAGAGGAAGAGGAGGTGGCAGGAGGGACTGGCGACACCCAGGAATGGGAGAGAGGACGGGAGCCTGCTGCCCACCAGAGGGGCAGCAGCTCCTGGATGTGCCCCAGCGGTAAGAACCTAGAGGGTTAGTTAGAACCAGTCTGAAAGAGATTTGGGACAAGGAGAGTGGGTGTGGAAACCTATGCCATCTCCCCTCTGTGTGTGGTCCCCACTGAGGAACAAGTGATGATCTGAACACCCTTCTGCCTTTCCACAGATCCCAGCTCTCAGATGGTGCTAATGACATCAGGACTAGGGGACAGTCTGTTGGCTGAAACCGAGATGTGACTCTCCATTTGGGCTTCTGCACGTCATTACACTTGTCTATGTCCTCAGCACCTTCCTCCAGATGTCAGGGGGTGGAACGTCTGGGGCTTGGGAGGTTGGGGAAAGGGGTTGCTTGGGGCTCTGGCAGCTCCTGGCACTAGTGGGAGGCTCTGGAAGCTGTGACTAGGCAATGGCTATGGGGTGGGGGGGGTGCTGAACCCAGGGCAAGGCCTCTGGACCTGTTGGCAGTTCTTGACTGCAACCCGCTGGCTCGGAAGAGATTTTACAAACTCCCCAACCTGGTGTGTGGCAGTGGTCACTGGGGACCCAGAGATGGGAGGAACTTACCACTAAGCACCATTAGGGGGCAGTATCACCCCACCACCCAAGCACCAGGGCACACTCTCCCAATAAGCCTAGCCCAGGTCTAGGACCTGGGATTCTGGGTGACACATCACAAGCTCCATGAAGATTCTAAAAAAAGAAGAGAATACTTCCAAAGCAGGGCTGGACTGAACTCTACTTACTGAGGGGAGATCCAGGGGCTCTAAGGTTGTGGGTGCCCCTTCTGCTGCTTGCTGCTCTGTGCCCAGGGATACCATAGGCAGAATGTGTTAAGGGGAGTCACTGGCAAAGACTAGGGAAAAAACTAGGTCTGAAAATATGAAAATACTCAAGAATGGGGAGAAGAATGGGAGAGGAAAGGTCATTAAGGAAAATAAGGCTATACCAGTAAAATAATTTTATTTGCTTTTAAAATAGTCATCAATGTGAAATTTCCCAAAATTGGGAGTAACAGTCTAGAGCCAAGGTTAAGAACGGGGCCAGGCCTAACCCAGAACCCACTTTGAGGCCCCTAAAGCCCACCCTCCCTTCCAGAGGGAGGGAGGAAACATCTGAGGAGAGCCCTGAGTCAGTTGCTCCCTCATCCCTGGGCCCAGCTGGGCCAGGCCCCTTGAGGGCAGCAGCTTGTGCAGAGAAAAACTGGTGAGAATCAGAAATTAAGAGGTTAATAACCCCAGTAATACCCCCCAAAACAACCAAAGCTCATGAATATAAAAGGAGGATGGAAGATGAACACTGATGAGCGAGCCCCTGGGCTCCCCAGAACAGCCCAATTTGAGCTGGTTGACTGGAGGACAGGACTTGAGACCCAATTGCATGTTACCTTTGGAAAATAAATATTCCAAGAAAAGGAAAAAAAAATCATGAATGAGGAAAGCTGGTGCCAGTGTCAATGCAGCTGAAAGGCCTAGTGTGGCCTCTCTTTCACACAGGGAACAGAGCTGTGCAGGTGTGGGAAGGAAGAGCTCAAGCGCCTAGGCCTTCTGCAGGCCCAGAGCGACATCAGCAGGAAAGCAAGTGGGCCTAGCTGAGCAGGGTGCCCTGCTCTTGGGCCTGGGTCAGGCTGTCCTTGCGGTGAAGATGGTGCACCCCCATCCTCTTGGGACTGCGCTGTGGGCGGCTAGAGCTGGTGAGAGGCCAGGCCCTGCCCTCAGGATGGGAAGTGCCAGGCCCTTCTGTCCCCCTACCACCAGGCAGAAGGCTCTGAAGCTCCTCTTCAGGGCTGATGGGCAGGTTCAACTCTTCTTCCTCCTCCTCCCTGGGAAAACCAGAGTCAGGTTCTGCTGGCAGCAAAAGCCCACTCTCATCAGGTAGGGAAGAAGGTGCTGGAACCACCTCATCTCTGTCAGCAGGGTTAAGGGCAAAATGGCGCTGCAGTTCAGGGAGTGCATCGCGCCCAAAGGCTGTGCGCTGGACCACAGCCGTAGGTGGTGGAGTACGGTCCACAAATGCACGCTGCCAGCTGGCTAGCAGGTCCTCTTCAGAGCTGGCAGGGGTGCTGAGTGTTGGGGGTGCTGGGTTGGGTTGGTGGTGGGGTGAGGCCTGGGCTGAGGCAGGGCTGCTGGGTAGAGGGCTAGGGCGGGCCCGTTCACTCCCCTCCTCCACCAGACTCAGGGAGATGGCCTGGCGGGTAGCATAAGTGCAATTGGGCAGGGGACTGTTACGAGGGATCCGAACCTTATCTTCAGAGAACTCTATTACCTTGCGGCCAGGATACAGTGGGTGTGGTGGAGATGGGGTGGGGTATGGACTCAGCTTCTCAATGGCTGGCAAGGGTAGCTCCTCCTCTGGGGAGCCTCCTGTAGTACCCAGAGAATGGCATTCTCCATTGGGTTGCAGGGTAGGACTGCCAGGGGCTGGGGGACTAGCTGGGTCACCAGGAGCACCCCCACTCATGTCCACATGCACAAAGACATCCTCAGCCAAGGGGTGCCCAGTACTGCCTGACTGTGCTGAATTGAGCAGTAAAGACTCTGGCTTCTCCAACACCCGGGCAATGACTGAAGTAGGAACCACAGCTCCTGGGGCCAGGCTAGGAGCAGGGCCTGGGCTGGCAGCCTCTTGACCATTGTGCAGATGTTTCCGAACCATGTCCTGTAGCTCACAAGGCAGCTGGGATAAAGGAGCAGAAAAAGGAAGAGAGATATGAATGATTCCAACTGAAAACAGCTTGACTCAGCAAAACTAATGGCTACCACATATAGTACCACTGTGTACTGTTTTCTTTCTGTTGAATAACATCATTTCATGGATAAATAGGCTCAGTCGGTGTAAAATAACTTGAAACTTTTGATTAACACAGTCAGAATTTGAATCCAGATCTACTGCTGAGACCTGTGTACTCTCAAATTTCTATCTCCCCTACCTCGGCAGTGGCTTCTATCCAAATCAGACTTCTGTTTGGAGAATCTACAGATCAGTACCCCTACAAATACCTCTATTTTTGCAGGCTGCATTGACCTTGGACCTGAGGCCCTTGGGTCTACAGTTTGCCTCCTGAGGTAATGGGATCACATGGGCCTAATCCTTTCTCAATACTCATGGCCAATAGCTCTGGCCATCCCCTCTTTCCTGCAAAGTGTCCTCAAACTGAGTCTCTTGTCTCTGATTATAAAAATAACAGGGCTAGCCCCAGCACTATCAATGAGCAATAACATGGGGGATACCAGCAAGGCTGACTGGCTTGAGGGGCAACATGGAGGCAAGTAGGCAAAGCAGAAAGGAGGAGCTAAATGCAGGAGGATGAAGACAGGTGCAGAAACTTGAGTGTAAGGGGTCCTAAAAAGGCTGGAATGGCATCGGTCAAGCAAGGGGTATGCTCAACTCACATCGGCGAACTTGTGGTTACGGAAGTGCGACTTGTTGCACTTGAGGAGCTGCACGGCCAGGTTGCAGTCCAGCCGGTACCGTTCCTACAGACATGGATGTGCTTCAGATCCTAGCCTGGCCCTGCTCAGGGAGCAGGGCTAGCCAGGACAGACCCCACCACTGTCAGGAAAGGCCCTCCGAGCAGGTGCAGTATACGTACATTGAGCTCCTCTAGCTTGTTGATGGTGTTCTTGGCATCCAGCAGCTTGTTGGTCAGCTCCACGATCTCCCAGTCGAGTGTCTTCCTATCCATCTCAGCCTTCTTAATCTGAGGCACAGACTTGTGGTAAACCCAATCCAGACCGCACTGGTCCTTCCTCCCCTCCACCACCTCCCAGCCCAGAGATATGAGGCCACAGGTGCTAGGACAGCCACGGCGGACAGAGCAGACAAATAATGGACAGACAGAAGGAGACTAGGCACCTCTCTCCTGCTCTCTGGAGTGGCTGTGGGTGGGGCCATGTGGGCCCAGGACAGAGGCAGTGTAAGAACTGTCCATTCACTGAGGGAGTTTGAGGGCCTCTAGGCACTAGTCAAGGCAGTTGGTACCTCAGAGACTAACTGCCACCTGTGTGTAGCATTTCCAGGACAGGACTAGGAAGAGGGAAGGGGGCTGGGTGACAGCTGAGATGCCTGTGAGATTAGATGATTGGGGAGGAACGGAGTTGCAGGTTCAAAAGTAGCCTTCTGATCTTCAGTTCATGGACTGGATCTATGCCTCCCCTCCCATCAAACAACTGGGCCTGCTGTCACTGCAGCCAGGAAGTATTCCATGGTGACATCAGTATCTGCCAGAGCCAAGGGCAGAAGCCCCAGCCCTCTTCCAGGAGGGAGGCACTGATTACCAAATGAGCCTCACATAGGGAGAGGCAAGAGGTAGTACCCTCAGGGGGTAGAGGGAAATAGCCAGGACCCCCCAATCCCAAAATTTGGCTAAGGAGGCCAGGGCAAGGGAAAAAACACACAAACTCAGACGCAACTGCAAAAATCCAGCTGTGGCTAAGAGAGGCCTGAGAGGAGAATGCAGCAGCAACGGTGGCAGCATGAGGGGGAGACGAGGAGAGAAGAGAAACAGTGTGAGCATTAAGACAGTCCCCACGTGCATAGCACACTGCGGTTCCCTCCCCACCACTGCCCCACTTCCATCCCTCCTAAATCCCAGGGCAGAATGGCATTTTCCTAGCAAGTCCTGGCCCCCTGCTACACTGTGAGCACAGTGCTAACCAAATCACCCTCCTGGACACGTTACCAGTGTATGCAACTTGTCCTCCAGCTCCTGGTTGGTCCGCTGGGAAGCCGTATAACTGTTCTGCAGCCTGAAGAGGAATACAAGGCAGACACCTGGTCAAGATCTAGTTTTTCAGGCCCTACTCAGCTCCTCCTCCACTTGGATCGTGGGCAAATCAATTTCCTAGAACCTCTCCCAGAATATCAGTTTTCTAATCAGAATCAGGTCATCTCTGAGGCCTCTTCCAGCTAACATCCTGTGAACACAAAAACGCTCATTTGCCTCTGGCCCCTGGATCACACCTGCGGAATTTGTCCTTAAACTTGTCCAGCTCCTCGCGGCTCTGGCCTAGCTCCAGCTCCAGGCAGTCTTGCCCAATTTCCAGCTCACGCTCCAGGGCTTCAGTGCGTCTGGTGGCAGAGGCCAGACGCCGACGAAGCTCTTCATTCTCTTGCTGCAAAAGCCTAGGATACAGGAAGACACAGAGGAGCCTCAGAGAGAGAAGAGCCAGTCCTGGAGTTTTGAGTGGAGCTCAAGAAAGAAGGCGAGGGATGGTATGGGGACAGGCAACTGAAAGGAGGGGCGGACAACTGAAAGCAGAGGGATTCCTAGAGCTTCAGCTCAAGTTGAGGGCAGCAAGTTCCACAGGCCTGCTGGACCTGAGAACAGAACCTGAGTTGGATGGTAAGGGAGGGAGAGGGGATGGGAGGGGACACTCCACTCCTCCAACTATTACAGAAGAAAACCAGGAAAACAGGACAGAATTGGATGGGGCAGAGCTCCCAACCTGTCTCTTGTTACCACCTAAGCCAGCCAGCCAGCCACCAAACCCCCAGCTCCAGTTTCCTCACTGCACA